TCTGCACACAAGTAAATGTAAACTTTTTCTTGATAGAGATATCTATTAAATACAAATGAATTGTTGCAGAAATTTCTCTATGAAAAAATTTTGCTTCATAATTTAACTTTGTAGTTTTTGTAGGTATATTTGTTAGCCAAAACAATTCACTACATTTTTAGGAAAAAAAGATTTCTCTAGCTAGTTTATCTAAACTAATAACTTAGTGTCACCTAATTCATATTAACCCTTCATTCATTTTACATCTTTTTATAGTTGCTTAACAGGTTAACTACCATGTCTATTTTTCTGCTATCTTGAAAATGTAAAATTGTTTAACATGTAAAAATGTAATTTAAATGTAAAGTTTGTGTAACACATAGTTTATTACTTGAAAGCTTGGTTATCTCAGTCTTCAACGAAACCCTTGCCATCAGCATCTTTTAAAGGCTCAATCCATATTTTGATTATCATTAACATTCTAAAAAATCTTGCTCTTAGGTTTTAACATGTTCAACCAGCTGTTTCTCATAAGCCCTTATGGATTTGAGAACTTTTTTTCAAACTAAATCCTAAGCTTTCCTATAGTTCTTTAAATCTTCTCAACTATCTGTCAGTTTAAACTTTTTAAACTTGAAGCACTTATCCCAGATTTTGACCTTTGTGTCATTAGTAAGCCAGTTTAATTTGATCTTCCCGGTTATCTTTTTTCCCCATTTCAGAAACAAGTCTATCTTGAATCAAAATCATCTTATTTTTAAAAATTTTCTAAAACTGTCCCACATCACTTTTTTTACTCATTAACTCAATTCATTATTGATAAGTGGCCTTAAAATTTATTTTCTGAAAATTAGGAAATAAAATCTCATTTCTTTTTATCTCAACATTTTGCAGAATATCAAACATAATTATGCAATGATCAATCTTCTTCAAATGTTTTACTATTTCAACTCTTGCAATCATATTCTCAGTAGTGGTTGGCATTAAATATATAATGGCATCTGCCATGGTTGGTTCTCTGATATTTGATATGAAAAAAACATCCCGAATTTCTTGACCCCATACAATCTCAGTTAGTGTGTCTAAAATTAATTATTGCATCAGTGTTCTTTTTAGTACCAACCGAGAACTCTTTCTTTAATTTCTTATTGATCTAATCTTTCTGATAATATAGTCTATAGCAACTGCCATTGTAAAAACTGTACTCTTGAAATTCCTGATTATAACCCACATAGATTCAACCTTTTGTCTACAATTTTTTTTTTCTTCAGTTCTAACAAAGTGCAGTTCATTCCTTATATAAAGAGCCATCACATCACTGGCTTTAAAAAAAATATATTTATTTAATAGTTTGTTTAGTTTAGATGATGAAACAGCTGAGATGGACCAATAGATCCCTTGTTGTTTCCAAACATTATGTTATTAAATAATTTATAACAAGGAATTTCCAAATAATTCCTATTATCAGCATTATCTAAAGTCTTGCCAAGTTTCAGTAATTCCCATTCTGTCATAGTCTTTCATTTCAACTAGAGCCTTGAACTCATCTGTTTTGTTGCTAACACTCCTAACATTAGAATAATAGCAACTAATCTTAATCATGAACCTACTATGTTTATCTGTAAATTTGATACTTATTATAAACACTACTATTTAATTAGTTAATTCTTTATTTCCCTAGCCATCCTATCGATTTATTTATTCCTAATTTCTCAAGTTCTGTTACCAGTATGTAAGTTTAGTGTACACTAACTTTAATGAATATGTTTAGTGCTTCCTCAAACATCTTACAATGTAGCCTGCTTAATGGTGCCCCCTTTATGGCATATAATCCACCTGTTGATCTAACATATGCCTGATAATATTTAAGTCTTGGATTTTGCATGTTGCTAAAGAGAGTACCCCCAAAAGGGCTGCATATTTATTTCTATCCCTAAATCTGTAAATGAGTTCTTTATATTTTTTAAGCAGCTCTTTTGATTTACAATTTCCAACATCATTTGCTGAAAGTTGTTGGAACTAGCAAATAAACTGTCAACACACTATAATGTCAAGTAATTTAGCACACAGCAAGAAAATTGTGGACCTAATCTTTTCATGCTCCTCACTACAAGTGATTTCAACATTATACTTAATGAGTGAGTTCCCCATTCCTCATTGCAAGAGGTTATTGGGGGTATTTTAGGATCAACTGAATGACTGGTTAGGTTTGTGGGAAAGGTTTAAAGGTAGTGGAAGACCAATGTATGCATATGTGCCATTTAAACATCACCATTATTTTAAATGTATGTTAAGATATTGGTGATAAAAATTATTTGATTATGAGAAATGTCAGTAATACTGCCAGGGAAGTGCAATTTTTTTTTTTTTGCCTTTTGTGTTGGTAATAGAAGACTTTACAACAAGTTTTTCTGTCCTATCCTCCCCCCCCCCCTCCATCTCTAATGTAGTTGATTATTTGGACCCAGATCATCTTCTGTGTCCAGTTTGGACTGTGTTGTGTTATTTGGCATGAATGTCTCCTTGTTGGGGTTCCCAGGCAGCATTTGTTTCTGGGTAGGTCCATTAATTTTTCAAATTGATGTATTCTTCCTTGGATATTGTTGTTTGTAAGCTTTTTCACATTTTGTCGCATCAAATTTGTCACCTTTTTCAATCTCCTGCATCTCATTTTTTTTCAACCCTTGGACAAAATTCTTCAGGCTGGCATATGGATGAATCCACATCATCTGGCCATTTCATCTCCCTTTGTCACTGAATCCCTGTCCCACCAAACAAACCTTTCAGCTGTGGGGTTGTTATAATGTGATGATCAATCCCACTATTTGTTGGTAAAAAAGTAGCCCAAGAGTTGGTGGTGGGTGTTGATGACTAGCTGTATTTCCTCTAGTCTTAAATTGCTAAATTAGGAATGGCTAGCGCAGATAGCCCTCATGTAGCTTTGCGCAAAACACACACACACACATCATCACTATTCTTCAATCTACACACTGTCTTTGAGAAGGGTAAGTACATTTTCTTTTTTATCATCCTCTTCCTTTTTATAGGATCCCACCAGGTGGCTGGTTTTGCCTCCAAGGGTGTATGCTTACTTCCCAAAATCTGCAATTGAGCCAGGGACAGTGGAAAGCTATCGACCCATCTGCCTTGGCACTACCAGTGCACACTATCGAGATGGGATATTCTAGAAGTATCTTTATGTTATTAAACTTATCCTGACCATACTATTCCATGGACTATCATGGAAAAGCCAGCGCAAAGGAAGTGACTGCCCATCTCTTTGGGTCGTGCTTGCCGGCTTTTCAGAATAGGATTTTGCAGTCATACATTGCACATTCCCCGGTAAAAGACCTTTCAAACCCCCCTCCCCTTTTCTTCAGGTAAAGCACAGGAAACTCTTGCCACTTACCAATTCATAGCTGCTATAATGGTGGACCTCAGAGAGTTCTTCACTAATTATGTACAGCACAATATGGTAGGAAGTAGGTCAGTGGTGGCACTGTTTGTATAGTGTGGGTCACCCCTCGAACAGCTAGTGTGTCTTCCTCCTGCAGCAAGAAGGGTTCATCACCCTGTCTGTGTCTATCCAGTTGAGACACAGTATGGTCTGATTGCACCCTAACCACACTACACTTCTTGGCGTTTATGTGCAGATGTTCAGTTTGTCATTCAAATCATTTCACCCATCCCTGTGGCACTTGGGGTTATTTAGCCTTTCTCTCTCTTCCTTCTGGTCGAGATGAGATGTGATTACCATGGTGTACATCTATGGAGCCCTTACTATTGGGTGTAATACACCATAGGCTTTCCCTTCACATGCTTTTGAGGGGAGCTCATATAGGTTTAATGTTTGTTCCAGCCCCTTCACCATTTCAAAGTGGAATTTTAAGTGTCCTGTGTTTGGAGAAGAGATATCATCTTGGAAGTTAACATTTTCCTTACTTCAAAATGTATTTCTGAAAGATACTCGCCTCTTCCCACCTGTCCTCTCCTCTTTCAGTACACTTTCTTCTTGCTTTGTTTAAGAAATAAATTATATATGTCGAGTGCAAGTGCTCAAAGGGAGTTACTGTACATTGGTGGAGGGCTAGTGTTGCATGATTTTTAGGTGAGAGTTAGCTTAAGACTAGTGGCATGCAAATCTCATAGGCAGAAGTGCAAGGGGTCAAACTATTCTGCATGAGGTGGTGAGTATTTATTGGAAATACATTTTCAGATAAGAAAAATTTTAACTTTTAAAGTACTTACAAAGTTGAATTGATAATTTTATTTCTTTAGACAATGACTAAGTATTAAACTAAAGATTTTATAGTGTAAATGCATATTGTTTTCAGTTCCTGGAAACTTACAATATATGTGTAGTTTCTAATTGTTTGAGTGTATGCACAGGTGCTTGGAAAATGAGCTCTAAAATATTAGTATTTGAATTCCTGAAAGAAATAGCTGTTTTTAAGTCCTGAAGGTTTAGTAAAAAATTCCCCCCTCTTCAGTAAAGTAATTAAGTTAAAAAAATTAAATCAACAAAAAAAGTTTGGTTATTGCAAACAAGTTTGTTTAATTTTATGTTGGCCATTGTGAATATTGTGCCTTGCTAGACTCAAGGCTATTGAAATTTCAGCTGTTGGATATTTTATGAACAAAAATACCAGAAAAATGCAAGTTAATCTGGGGTAATAGGATTTAAGAGTCCTAGAAATGTGAGAAGCTACTGGAATTGTTTCTTCTTAGTAAAAGTATCTCTGTATCATATTTTGTGATTTAAAGGCTCTATGGAGAAAAGCTCATGTAAGAATAATTGATTAGTTGAGTGTAATAGATTAATGAACCCAGTGCTCTAATTGATTAGCAAGCTACACTAATTACTCAGCTATATTGTAAAGTAGTGTCATGTTTACTGTGTTTTCCTTCACGTGATATATATATGTAAATGTTAAATTTTTTCTTGAAAGTCTATAAATTCAACATGGAATTCATACAGTTTTTACTTACTTTGCCCTTTACCAGGTAAACCTGTTGCTTCCATGCTCCAGGAAGTTCAGAAATCTATTATAGACTCTATTGAAGTAGAAAGGTTTTCAAAAAGAAAAAAAGCCTTGGAAGAAGATTGTCTTCGATTAAGTAAAAGACAGAGTGAATGTGCCTTTAGATATAGAGAGATTGCTGTGAAGAAGCACTATAACTATATTCAAATCATTCTTGTGCCAAATACTATTCGAAAAAATTCCTTGAATATTGAGGTAAGTTTTAGGCCTAATGAGCTTACTATCCACTCACTTACATATCAGTGTACCAAGGTTTAAAATGTAATATAAAAAGATAGGAAAAATCACTAGACAGTCAGTCGGTTAAACCATTGAGATTGTTAGCTCTTACATCAACTTTTCAGATGACCTTCATTATCACAAACAGTTGCAAGGAACTAAAGGTGTTGCTTTAGGAAGTGTTAAGGTATTTCAAAGGAACAATTATATAAAAAAAGATGACGGTTACTTTCCTTTGGAAGAAATATGCCAAAAGTTTATGAGAGAATTGATATAACCAAGGTGCTTGTTGGTATTTTAAACAGGTCTCCTGATTAGGTTTTTTACACTGATAGAACTACGTATTGGCAACTTAATTATGCTTCTGATAGAAGAAATCTTGTTATAATAGGATACTTTTAGTTTTAGAGAAATTGGTTAGAGGAATTGTACTTCTTTTCTGTTTGGAACATGGTTAGATACATAGATGTACAAGTATGCTTTAGCGCTAGAAATCGTAACATACATTGTGTTTATACAGCACTGTGTAAAAGTGTTAGGACAAGAGAATATTTTGTCATTCTTTCCATTTTATGGGGCTAATTCTTCCATGCCATTACAGAATGTAATAGTTGATCCCTGTTGACAATTGAATGAGCAAGGGTGAGAATACTTATCATTCTTTAGAATTCCCATATACTTGTACCAAGGGCATGTCATAAGGTTTCTGCTTGAATGAACATACTGATCAAATTTAGGGTCTGAAATAACTGTCATGGTACCCCATACAGTGTCTTAACTATATAGAAAGAAGCTAGCATATGGTACCAATATATGCTAGAAGAAATAAATTTAATAGCACTTCACAAATAAAACTTGATAAAAACAGTGTTTAACACTATATATTAAGTTTTATTGTCATGCTACAGCTGAAAAAGCATAGAGAATTGTCAGTAGAGCAGAGAGTTTGCATAATAGCTTTATGTGATGCTAGTTGGACTCTCCGACAAATTGCTGCACACCCTAGATCGTGAGACGGAGACAGGTAAATTTGAAAATAGGAAAGAGAGAGGCAGAAAACCTAAACTCAATGATACTGATGTTAAGTATCTTTGTTTATGCAGTCTTCAGGACAGAAGGAAGACTTCCACTGATCTCAAGCATGAGATAAATGAACATGTACCAAATGACAGAAAAGTGTCCAGATCTATAGTATCAAGAAGACTCAATGAGAATGGAATATTTGATCGTGTAGCAGTTAAAAAAATCTTTACTTCAATCTCCAAGCATTGTCAAGAGACTGAAATTTGCTAAAAAGTAAAAAAACTGGACTGTTGATGATTGGAAAAGGGTGTTATGGACAGATGAGTCCAAGTTTGAAATATTTGGTTCAAAGCATAGGTTGTATGTCCAGCGGAAGAAAGGTGAAAGATAATTGCCTCAATGCATAGCACCTACCATGAAGCATGGGGGAGGTAGTGTGATGATTCGGGGGTGTTTTTCTGCTGAGGCTACAGGAGGTATTTGCAAGATAGATGGAATAATGGACCAGTGCAAGTACCATCAGATACTGAACCATCTTGATATACCCAGTGGTTTGCATATTATTGATAAATACTTCTACTAACAAAAAGATAATGACCCCAAACACTAATCCAACCTATGCAAAAATTACTTAGCTAAGATTGAAGCTGCTGGAGTCATTCAAATGATGAAATGGCTCCCACAGAGACCTGATCTAAACCCGATTGAGCAAATCTGGGATTTGGTAGATCAAAACTTGACAAATCAAAAGTTTCTTCCAAAGAATCTTTATGGGGGTGTATTAGAGACTTTTGGAGTAAAATCCCAAAGGACACTTTGATTAAATATTTTGCAACAATGCCTGAAAGACTGTCTGCAGTTATTAAAGCAAAAGGGGGACACAAAATATTAACTGT